CCCCGTCCGGGGTCTGCGCCGTGTGCCTGGTTGTGCTCCGTGTCCGGTCTCCCTCCGAGGGCTGCTCCGTGTGCCTGGGTGTGCTCCGTGTCCGGTCTCCCTCCGAGGGCTGCTCCGTGTGCCTGGGTTTGCTCCGTTTCCGGTCCCCCTCCGAGGGCTGCTCCGTGTGCCTGGGTGTGCTCCGTGTCCGGTCTCCCTGCTTGTTCCAGCGCTGGTGTTAGGAAGCCACAGGCAGAGGGGAGCTGCAGGCCCCATTCTGGCCTGGCTGTGCTGCTGTGGCAGAGCAGGCCTGGCTCTCCCCACCTGTGCGAGTGACCTGCAGATATTGGGCATCTGTTTGTTTGTTTTTGTTTGTTTGTTTTTTTAGAGAGGTTTTTGCTATAGGGCACGTGCGCTCACCAGACAGAGAGAGACAGAGAGACAGAAAGCAAGAAATCACCCCCCGGAGGGGATGACCACGCTGCAATCCCTTCTCCTCCATTCTCTCGGGATCTTGGGCACGCATGCACACATGCCCAGCATGAGTTTAAGCTGCCAGTCCAGGACGCGAACCACGGTCAACTACATGGGAGTCCAGTGACATAGCCATTATGCTAACTGCTGGTCCCAGGCATCTGTTTTGAAAAAGAGGCCGCACAGTCGGCTTGTCAGGCAGCGTTGGTGTTGCGGATTCTTGCTGTCTGTTGTATCAGAAGGACCCAGCAGTTATCTGCACTCGGTTGGTGACCAGGGCTGGTCCTCTCTGTCTCTCACTGGGTGGTGTCCAGCTCACCACCACCAGCAGGGGCAGTGACTGGCTGAAGCTTCCTCAGCCCTCCTGTGCCTCAAGGCTTCTAGAGTCTTGTCATGATGCGAGCTGGGTCGACCCTCAGAGCCTGCTCGTCATGAGCTCCCAGGCCACGCGGAAGCTGCTGGTATGTGACCACATGGTAGTGGCTGCGATGACTCGTCCATTGGACACAGTGCTTGATCGTCAGAGAAACTGGCCATTGATGGGGGAGCAGTGAGTGGGACAAAGCCAGATTCTGGGCCATCCAGGCCCAGTGGCCTAAGTGCGGAGAGCGAGGGGTGGGAGATGGGTGAGCCAGCAGGGAGGGGTACATGAGACGGACTCTCAGACGGGGCAGTGACCAGGGAAGGGAGCTCTCGTAGGCGTCCGACAGAGAGGCCTGTGCCTATCCTGTCAGCACTCACGGAGCGTGTGCCACGCCTGGGGCCCTCGTGCTGCATACATCACAGCGTGGCGACTGTCCACTGAGCCTGTGGTTCACTTGTGCGAGCTTCACTCACTGTCTTGTCCCTCCAGACGGAGCGGGATGTCAGCGTGCGGCAGCGAGCCGTGGACCTCCTCTACGCCATGTGCGACCGCAGCAATGCCAAGCAGATCGTGTCGGAGATGCTGCGGTACCTGGAGACGGCTGACTACGCCATCCGGGGAGAGA